AGACAAAATCATGAGTTTCTTGTAATGGTTGTGAATTCTTCCTTTGGAAGTATATTATTACTCGTTCAGCCTCATAATGCCAGTGGTTCTGAGTCAACACACTGTCGTGAGACCTCTGGCCAATTTCATTCGATATTTTATGGCTTGCTTCTCTCATTAAGAAGCATCAATCAAATCGAAGATTTCATAAATAGTTAGATAATGTAAACTGAATGATTCAGTTGACAGTTGACACCTCAAATGCACTTGTCACAAGTTGTTTATCATAGAATGGGTTAATGTTATTTGTTGAGAGACGAGAAAAACAATCAAGATTTGTAATTTTTTACGAAAGACGTCGCTAAAGTCTGTCCATGAACTATCGAATGGTATTGCAGAGGATGTCAAAAACGGAAAATTTCAAAGCTCTGCTTCATGGAGTTGACTTCTTTTGAACATGTACAGGAATTAAAACTGACATTCAGCAGTAATCATCGACTTTCACATAAATTTTCTCTGTTGAAAATTGACTTGAAAACTATGTTTTCTTTTAAGGGCATTGGTTCTAAAACTGTCTTTGAATGACTATCTTTTTTTAAAAAAATATATTTTGAATAATGATTTGCATCTGAAAAAGAAGCAATGGTATTTAAAATATATTTTGACGATGTCTTAAAAGAAATATTATCATGATTATAATATTATTAAATCAGAATAATTTTATGTTCGAATTAACATGTGCTGAACGTACCCAATCTCACATTTTTAACACAGCTAAGCTACCATAAGAAATCTATCGTATCAATATTTCATCGCTCTTTTTCGTTTTTTTTCCCCAGCAATTAATATTTTTAAGCATACATACAATTTATAGACTATTTTTTTTTTTAGAGGATGTGAAAATATTCATGCACTTTTAGTGGTTTAAATTTTTATTTCATAGCCTTCGTTATGTAGATTATATATTAGACGTATTTGTTGGTATTTCAGTATGATAATTCCATTTACCTTACGTTTTCAGTTGTTACTTACGTGGAACGCCTTTCTAATTATCTATCTTTTATAAGTTAGGTCATGTGTTGACATTCTACATGTTTTACTTATTTTACTTAAAAGCAGGAAGTGTCATCCATGTTGGCAGTCTTTGATAGCTCTGTTCTGATTGGTTAAGTTAGCTATAGGATCTTTGTGTTTAATGGCTTTATTTTGGGGTCTAGCTAGGGTATTTAAAGCCGTGTTCGTGTAGTTTACTTCACTTAGGTTGGGGAACAGACCTAATGGTTATTTCCTCTTTACATTGTTAATAAAAACCCCTGGTTTAAGGAAGCTCTAAACACTAACAAAAAGTGCTTTTTGGTCTTAGAGAAAAATATTTCATACAAAGGTGTGCATATTGAGACCATTTAATTCATTTTCAACATAGGGTACCTGCCTTATTTCTGCAAGAAAAATGTTCAGAGACAATGGACTATGGGTGAACAGAAATCAATGTTGTTTACCAACATTGGGGGGAAATTAATGGAAATAATGAATTCAATTACTTATTCTTGGTCTAATATAATGCTACGAATATTTTAATCTATTACAAATTGTGTAATTAACTATAAATATCCATTTTTTCTATCTTACTTCTAGGGGCAGATCACTCTAACTGTATAAAACTACCCTACAAGTAGAACTCTTTAGTGTGCAGTGTTTAGAGCTTCCTTAAAAGCACTCATTTGTTTAGTACCTTTTTATCGTGCTAATAATCTCTTATGATTTAACAGCACTTGGGGTCTTAGTTAGCTTTAGTTGCACGTTTTTCTTGTTAGGTTTTTGTTAAGCTAGGATGTAGGTTTTATTTAGTTAATTTAAATTTCCCCTTTCCAAGTCCAGCCTGGTATAGGAATATATTGAAAACAGGTTTATTTTCTAGAACCACTTTTCTTTATTTATATTTTTGGAGTTGTTTATTTCTGGGACAGTAACTTTTAGAGCTCAGACTTAGCATTATTATTTTTAGATCAACTCTAGAGTGTTGATAGATAGAGTCTATATAGGGTGATGTAGCTCACTTTCCTTATAAATACCAAATCACTTACATTTTTATAGAGTAAAGCTTTTGAGCATTTTCTTTTCTATGGAGGTCCTGTAAGGACAGAGATTATTTTTCATAGGTTTTCCACATTCCTCCCATTTTGTATTAAATTTTCATAAAGATCTTATTTATTTATTGAGATTATTGTTATTCACTAACCAGATTCAATTATATTTTTGATAAAAAAATTTTTATTCCTGTGCAATTTTTTTTCTTTGTTAAATTTTGATCATTATTTATTATTTGTTATCATTTACAAAGGTTAATTATCACTTTATTAAATTTATAAAACTTACAGCAGTGTTTTCATTTAGCGTTGATCATAGTTCAGAAATCCCCTTACCTGCCCTTACCAAAAATATTGCCTTCAAACATTTGCTGCAAGTCTGCACAGATATTGCTGTAAACTTGCTGCAATGAAGCTAAAGAAACCTTGACAGCCTATTCAAAGCCTTTGTGTTTGCAGCAAGTTTGCGGCGAGTATGCAGCAAGCTTACAGCAATCATTTTACCATACAAATGAGGTCTGCAGCAGACATTGCATTTTCCAAATATGGAAACCTTGCTGCTAACTTGCGGCAAACATTTCTGCTAACTTGTAGGAAACAGTTCAGTTACTGTTTTTTAGCACATTCCTGTGTATAAGCAGCAAGATCACAGAAAGCCTTTGTCCTGACCTTAATTATAGAGAAAATCCACCACATGTGTTTCAAATGATGCAAGTTTCTGAAGTGTTGATAGTCTATCTTCACACTCCTAGACAATGTTTCCATACTATTCATAATTAAGGGGAAGAAGGACCTTTAGCTGAAAAAATACTTGTCATTCAATTTTTTTCATATTTTGTATATTTCTAATTAAGTATGTCCCACATATCTTAAAGCACTTATATCATTAGGTTTCTTACCTTATTTTAGAGATATTGATTGACAAATATGATGCCCTACAGTATCTAAGTGGAGTTTTAATTCTCCATGTTTCCGGGCTCATTACTCTGTCCATAATTGGATTTTTAAATTATATATAAAAAATATGTAAGTGAACATGTATCTTTTAAAATATTTCAGAGTATGAATTGGGTTTAAAATTCGAAAAGGCAAGTTTCATCTATCACACTGCATCTGGATAGGGAAAATTACAAACTTTTTAAGACAACTTAAACAACAATAAAGTGCCCTGCCACAGCATGATACGCCCGTCAAATATTGTTCAATTGTCATAAACAGTTTAGAGTGCAAGAAAATCATGTCAACCTTGATACAAGAATTTCAAGGATTTTTCCATTCCTTATAATATTTATTTATACATCTCCTGTGGTGTAGGCATTAATTATAACAAATATTACATTACAGATCCTCAACTGGTTGTGTTAGAGTTTGACAAATGCCCATCTGCACCCCCCCCCCTCCCCCCCCCCCAGCTTTCAGATTTGTGAGACATGATGCTCTGAATTAGTTGATATTTTCAAAAAATTAAATAAAAATATCATATTACACGATATCAATTTAGTCTTAACAACTTAATCTATTTCAAATTAATATTAAAAATAAAGGCTGACCATCAAAATGACATATGGTATAAACTGACAAGCAGTTCCAGCTGTCTAATTCCCAAAGGATACAGATAAGAGCTGCTTGATCAGAGATCCTCTAACAGAAATGATTAAGACAGCTAGCCTCCCTACACTGAACTTATTAATTAATCTTTAACTGGATGCATGTCCACTCATTACTACCAAGAGATGAATGGATCTATACATACTATCTGCTTTGTAGTGCAATAAAAATGCATATTTATGTCATTCTGAAATTAAATTTGAAAACAAAGATTTTTTTTTTAAATTTGTTACAAAGATTTATAAAATGAAACAAAAAACTTGTGTAATCTTGATGCAACAATTTTAATAAGGTTCCTGCATTACTCTTAGATTTGTAGGGACTATCTACCATAATTAAAACATTTTTTTTTTAAATTCTTGATTTTTTTTTAGATTTAATGTTAGATTGGTTTTAAGCTGCAATTCATACGAACAACGGGCATGCTGATTCCAATATCCCCCCCCCCCCCCAAGTATAATTAGTTTTAATTATATTATACAATATCAAATTAGTTTATTATACAATATCAAATTAATTTATCATACAATATCAAATAAGTTTTAATTACTTTTCACCAAATTCATTCTAAAGACGGGCGTATAAAAAACGTAATTTACAAAAAATCCTATCATTCAATATTTTTAAATTTACGTTGAAATGCAAGTCCTTCAAATTATTGATAAACTGTAAAAATTTCGAATGGTGAAGCTGACCTTAATATCACAGGACATCGTTAAAGACGACATAAGCAGGACAAACACTTGTCATGTTTACATTTCTCAAGTACGGGAAAAACCAACTATGACATCACACGTAAGCTAAATAAGCCAAATAAGATATACCTAAGATTTCCGTCATCAGCCATGCAGAAATAATTTTTGTGTTCCCCGTTTCTCAAAGTACTTCATTCTATACTGATTATGACCTGTTTTTACATAATAATACCGCCCTTGTATTCACCGAGTATGATCTTGCTGTACTTAAGCAGATCGTGTATGACGTCACCGACTTGTTGGACGCGCAGTTTAAAGAAACAGAGGAGTGGACCAATCTTTTTTCATAATTCGTTAATGTTTACAAGAATGTTAAACTTTTTATTTTTTTAATATAAGATGGTAATTAAAGAAAAAAAATTGTCAAAAATTTATACAAGAACTGATGCTTTACACGTTTTGCACTTATATAAATGGAGACTATGACGTAGTTTAACAAAGTCATGTGACCATGTGTCCTTCATCCCCTTAAAATGTAATATAAAAGATAATTTCTGACTCATACAGAAAATTAAACAACTTTAGTTTGCACATGACTTTTGAAATTTAACTTTAAAAAAAGTACAGTTACCTATTTATGTTGTAACAAGGAATGAGTAAGGCTTCAATCATTTATTAAGAAACTTCCTTTAAAGGTACCGTTCTACAAAGATATATAAATACAATGACAGTTAATGCAGTATAAGACAGTTCACAATAAAAATTATACTAATACTTTATCTGTCTTATTTCTAAAAATTATATCCCAATTACACATTTACATCTGTTGAATATGGTAAATGAAACAAATAATTTCATGATATTCAACATATGAGATACTTATATATATTACTTTTCATTATGTACCATACTACTGATAAATATCATTCATTATAATATGGACATAAAAATAAAATATCATGTCACATACCCTAAGTAAGGATTTGAACAGGAGGTGTACGTTGTAATTGAGCCAATGAGTGACAGAGGTTCACATCAACGTGTCACCAATAATATTTTACTTTTTATCAAGTGTAAAGATTTCAGTATAAAAAAATAACCTTGGTTATAAAAATGTAATATTTGGAAATATATTATACTTTGAAAATATTGAATTACTTCTTTATATTCATGATTTATCTCTTTGAGAAATGATTGTAATAGAAACATTATAATAACTGAACTGTTTGACTTGGAATTGTTACATAAACAATGAATGAATTATAACCCTGTAAAAATATCAGAATAATTAAAATATTTCATATTATCACATACACTGCATTGTTATACATATAAAAATAAAACATTTTATGCCACAATTTCACTTACATTGCAGAACAGTCCAAGAGATCTTCCATGTATTTTTCTTTAGATGGAACAAAGCAAATATGGCTTCAGATAATTACAGGACGTATGTTAGACAAAGAACATTATATTTTGAAAAATAATTTTTTTTTTAAATCACTTTTTATCAATTTAATACTATAGAAATATTCCCAATAAACCAGTAAGTTTCTATCATTCAAAATTATTGCTGATCTAAGATTCTGAAAATTTTAAATGAAAAATATATCTATATAAGTATTAATTAAATGGACATTCTATGCAAGGTGTGACTGGCCATGTGGGTTAGCACCCGCTTAACAATCCAGAGGTCCCCGGATCAAATACACCCAGTGGCAATTTTTTTTTTTAGTGCAATTTATTTTTATGTGTTTAATAGTTAAAACAGTATCTTACAATGTGAAAACATATAGACATTTATCATAATAGATTTGGAGCCTTTAGGGCCTAATACATTAATGAAACATATAAATGTGATATTAAAATAACGATTGAAATTCATAAATACTAGCATATTTGACCTACATCAGTTACTTAAACATGCTTTAAAGAGATAATTGTTTCATATTAAAACAAAACCAAGTCATATCTTACCAATTAGATGTTGTGTATTCCAAATTTCACCTACAATCAGAATTATGTTTTTGTGATCATTCAAAATGGTCTATATTCCTAACAAAATACTGAAACATCTACAACTTCAATTCAAACATTTCAAAATGGAGAATTCTGTGTTGAACTCAGTACAATCTGTGGTTCATTGGCTGATTTGACTTGTTTACAGTTCTTGCAAATTTCCTGCAAACATCCAATTTGTTAAATGTTTCCTGTGAACTTGCTGCGAACAACAGATTGGTGTGTATGTTTCTTGCAATGTCCCTACGAACATGTCGAGTTCCTGCAAATTTGCTGCAAGTTGGCAGCAATTGCTGCTGCAATGTTTGCCGCAATATCGCAACTAGCAGCAATCACCTGCAAACAAGAAATTTTCTTCCTGCGAACAATTTTGTTGGCTGCAAACTTGCAGCAGGTCAGCAGCAAACATGACAGTTTGGTAAGGGTGGGTTGACAATCATAACTGGAGATAGTTTTCCACTTTAACAAGGTCTAATTCGATTGCGCATGACTTTGCGCAGCTTTTTAATATCATGCAGTTTTGTACATGTGTGACATTACCCCTTTCCTAAGTATAGTGATTTTAATACAAAATTAACATATTAACATGTATCTGTAACGTGTATGGTTCTGAGTACTGTAGATTCCTAAATGTACGCGAGGAATAAATTAACACGTAATTACGCGAGAAGCAACACTCGCGAAATAAAATTACTCGCTTTTATTTTTATGGTGCTTTAATGCATGTAAAATCTCTAGATAAATCACCCATTCGCGAATTATTGTTCTCGCGATTTGACGCCCTTGGGCCTTTTCGCGATATTAAGTTCTCGCGTAAAATAAGGAATCTACAGTATGTGCTTTTACGAAAATAATTAGGAAAAAAAGCTGAAATGCATGTAACGACGTCACTGTTTTCCGATTTTGTAAGCAATGACTGACGTCGAAGAATGACGTTATGACTCGCTTGTGTATTCAAGACGTCCATGGACATTTTTACTAGAAACTGTTGACATAACATCAAAAGAAACATACTAGGAATCTAAACATTGTTATTTTTTGCCAAAATAATTCATCTGCGCCGGGAATTCATCTGCACCGATATATATATAATACCGCAATATGGCAATTCTAGGGGTCTTGGGCATTGAAAAAATAAACTTTGTAATAATCCCTACACATTTCTAGTACTGACTGAAGAAGAAATCTCTAGGGCAGAAATAAAAAAAATATGGGGAAAATGTGATAATTTGGCGCTTTTCCTGCAAATTCCCATAGGGTCCAATAGAAAAATTTGGGGTCCCAAAATTTGACAACTTTTGATATGGCCCCCCAGAAATCAGGACGGTAAACATTTGATTATTTAATCTTAAAACATGTAGTATCTGTGCGACTGTCCCGTGGTATGACCTACTGATAATGACTGTGTGCCCAAACTATATTATATACAGGTCCAGCACAATACCCTGATAAAGGTATATAGCTTGATAAAGCTATATAGCTTTATCAAGGTATTACAAATACCTTGATCAAGGTATTTTTAAGAAATGAATTTAATTTTTGAAGATTCATGAGGACATGAACTATGACGCTTCACGACAGCATATTTCATGAAGGCGCATTCATGATAAATATGCCGGCGTGAAGCGTTGTACTTCACGTACCTCATGAATTTTCAAAAATTAAATTCATATCTTATATTTACATCATTTTCCAGATGGGTTGCCACAAATTACGCTATTCAACTGTCATTTTTTTAAGCAAAATAGTTTGCACTATAGTTTTGACATCGAGTGCGGTATTATGACGTAACAATGGAGATATTCATGCTCATCCATGGTAGTTCATGAGAAAATGAACAGTCTTCTAATTTGCAAAGAATCTTAAAGAAAAATATTTGGAAATGTAAATATTATGTAATGAAAATAAAAAAAAAATCCTAAAAAAAAAAAATAAATACTGAAAGTCGAGTTCTGAGTTATTGTCGGTAAATTCACTCATGCATGTAAAGTACTCAAACACAAAGAAATCAGTATAAAAGCATGTCATGTGAGAAGACGTTCTTTTATGCTGTCTTTTTAATACCTGAGTACTTCTCATGCACGAGTGAACACACTGACCACAACTTATAATTCGACTTTTAAATTTAATTTTTTAAGATTTTTTTTTGTATTTTCATTACATAAAATACCTTGATCAAGGTATTTGTAATACCTTGATAAAGCTATATAGCTTTATCAAGCTATATACCTTTATCGGGGTATTGTGCTGGACCTGATATACAAGGAAGTCCTCCACCCCTTTTATAAAAGTCATGTTTATCTAAATGAATCATCTTTAGAAACGCATTAATGATTTGTAAGATATCAATTTGAACGAATTATTCAACTGCATGAAAAGTTCAAATTTTTCAAACTTCGATAATTTTTCATCATTTACATACATTTAGATTTACATTTACCTGATTTAGTGATTATAACAACAATACCGTGAGCAGTTTCCAGTCAATTCGTACACAAACCGATTCGCACAAAAAGAGTCAATTCCCAGGTAGCATAAAACATTATCAAAACACTTTATTGCAGTTGTGAAAAGATTTTTACAAAACATTTCAGAGAAAATATTTTAAAAATGGTTTTAAAACTTCAATCCACTTCATTATTAAAAACATTTTTACTATAAAATGTTTTCAAAAAGGTTATGGTCATTAAAAAAGAATGTCTAATTCGCGAAAATCGGGTGTTTAGGGTCCACTGTTATTTTTCCTGTCTTAGTCGTGGCTTCTAGGGAACCAAGGCATTTATTAAAGACGATTTTTTTAACACATCACATTTATAGTGGTGTCAATCACCACGCTATGCAGCATAATCTTCAATCTCCTATGCAGAGTTGTCGTTCGTTCCTCTGTGAATGTATGAGCCGATGGTAGAGAGTGCATAATCTTTAGAAATTATCGCAATCATCACGTGACAAAGATAAAGGGTATTAAATTAGCACTATGGAGTTTACGTCATTTTGACAGAGACCACTGAAACAAATAAATTCGACTTATTTTTTTTTTTAATTGGACCAGTCACGGTAGCTTTGTGGTAGTGCGATCGCTTCGTGATCGGGAAGCCTTGGTTCGATTCCTGTTCGCGGCGCCGCGTCAAACCTAAAATGTTAACATAAGTAGTGACTATTCCTTCGCCAATCGCCCGGCATTAGAAGTGAAAGTCACGGGTCTTTCTGATGAGACGTTAATGGGTCCTGGGCACAGTTGCACAGTTAAACATTTTAAATGTCTTTATTTTATTCATAAAATAACTTCTGTTTCATGGAATATTCCTAGAATTCAGTAGGGCTGGGCCCAGATAGCATGACTACGTTGGGCCAACATTGGTAAATGGTTGTATGGTTGGCGTTGGGTGGACAACGTTGGACCAATATGTAACCATGTCAACCTTCTTGATCATGTTGGGATTCCTATGTTGGCCCAACGTTGGTCCAACGTAACCAACTTCTATATTCGCTCAACTTTCAAAGGGAGTTAGGATTCTAATGTTGGCCCAACGTTGGCCCAACGTTTGTAATACACCCTTACTGAAAATGTCTAATCAAGTTGGTAGTAGTACGTCGGCCCAGCGTTGGCCCGATGTTAGCATGTATAAGTGTTTCAAGAAGGGATATTTATAATGGGCCAATGTTGGCCCAATTATTGTACTGCCAACTAAATGATGGTGTCCATGTAAGCTGATGAGCGTTACGTTGGGCCAACGTTGGTTCAAAGTTCTTAAGGTAGAACCTATGTCGGAAAAGTCTTTGTCACAAGATTTTCAAACTTTTCAAAATGATAAATTAGCTCTTGCTTATCAATCAGTAAAAAATATATGGTATGTTTCTTCGTTATTAAATGTAGTGCAGTCTGTGCAACTTGGAAGCATAATTTTACACAGCGACTACATATTTTCAGCCATTTTTAGGGGTACTGGTCATAAAGAGAATATAATAAATCACTAAAATACTTATTCAAACATCGTCGTTTATAGACTT